AAAGAATATACAATATGATAATATATATAATTATACATACGAATGAATAAATATTAGAAACGTTTAATAAAACTTTCAAGATTAATTAACTTTACATCATATTATCATACCCCGACATTACCGCCCGTCATCCCTTCTATAACATGTATACGCTTTAATCACTTGTCGCTCGATCGCTTCGCGGATAGAACCGCCGGATAAACGAGTAACTCAGTGAATAATTACCCCTTTTACTCACTTGGCAGACCGGAAAAACTTTTGCTTTCCAACGTCACATGTTAACACGTATTTGTGCTTTGGATTGCACAATATATTTAAAAAAAAAGTAAATATTAATGGATCGCCTAGTTTGGAAAGATCGAGAAGTGAGGTGTACATAATATATAGTGGTTTGAAGGGAGAGTACATTATTTCTAATTCTGGATACAAACATAATATACACACTTGCCGACAACAGTACAAAGCCTCGCGTTTACGTATATTTCCTTCATTTTATTGGATTAGCTTACTTTCTTTTTCTTTTTTTTTTTTTTTAAGTAAACGTTAATTTTACGGCTGTAATTTATTTTACAACGCCATTGCAAAATCCACCGAATGAACGGCTTTTTTATTAGTTCTCGAATAACATGCTCTTAAAAAAAAAAAAAAACACTCAAGTATTCATTACGCATCATAAATGTACGAAACATAAAGTTTTTTTTTTTTTTTAATAGCGTATTATACTTTTCCCAACAATTTTTAACGGCAAACCGTAGTATATAGCGGAAAAAAGGCTCATACGTGTATAGGAGGATTGCACGGTGCCACGCACGCGTTTATATACAGTTTCCCGTGGAGTCCAATTGAAACCGTGACAATAAACGGAAGGTATGAAGAAAAAAAAAAAAGGGTGGCAAGGTCGCGTGGCACGTACAATCTCATTGGCGTTAATAATCTTCAAACTTTCCACCGCGAAAAAATGAAAAGAAAACAAAAAGTGGATGATTTTTCCCCTCGATATTACGTGTATGCACGAGCAGCGGAGTATATACATATGAGCCTCGGCAAATGTAATATATACCCACGTCGCGTCCCAGTTTCGCTGGCGCACACCGACGCTCTCTCGGTTTCCTTCGTTTTCTCATGTATATATATATATATACCTACACACTTGCCCTCCTCCTCCTCCCCTTAAATCGGTGTGTAGAAGAGCCGAGGACCGCAATATGTATACACGGAGAGGAGGAGATTTTCGCGTCAGATTCCCCGGGACGAAAATTATTCTCGGCGAAACGCTACAGAGCTGTCTTGCAAAGAAAGTGCGAGCCTATGTAGTTCACGCGCGCCGCGCACGGGGTCACTCTCTTTTCACTGTATATATACACAAACGCGGTATGAACTTTTCTTTTCTTTGTTTGTTTGTTTTTTTTTTTTTTTTTTTTTTTTTTATTTTTTTTTTTAACCAACCGTGCGTGCATGTTTACGATGAGCGAGCGCTTTCTTTTTTTCTTTTTTTTTTTACAAATTTGAATGTCATACGGGTGCATGGGGTGCGTGAATAGATATAGAGGCAAACTCAACAAAAAACATGTTAAAAACACCAATAATGTACAAAATCTCATATCCGCTTCTAACGTGTTTGTGTGCTTTTAAACTATATATATATATATGCGTATTGTAATGTTGCAGTAAAGGTCCCGTGATCGTAACGTCATTGTCCAAAGTGTGTGTGAACTTTCGACAAATCTTGTATACCAGTGGCGCAATATTTTCTCGGAGGAAAAAATTTCTGAAGTATATATTTTTCAAAAGTGAGGCCCAGCAGCAGCCGGTTTTCTTCAACGATGCCGTCACCACAGCTCGACGAACGAGAGCCGACGGCGATGGTCAATATTTGCGCAAAGTCAATCGACCTCGAAATCACCGTCCATCGGGCAAACATTGGGAAATCGCGCGGACACTCGAAGAATTCTAATATTAATCGTCTATGAGGAAAAAAAAAAAGGCTGGGAGCGAGAGACACACAAAGCGAGCTTTTTATCCGCGGTGCGCCACACGCGGCCTTTGTTTACGCCCATCACGAGAAACAAGAGTATTGTGTACATATATGTATTGCATAAGTGTATTTTAATATAGTTATCCGCGGGTATTTTTCGGTGGCTCGATTAAATCGTGCCTTTTTGCCCTCGTTGATTCTCCCATTGCGTAAAAATTGCTATTATGTGTTTGTCGTGTAGCGATTAGGGAAAATAATCGACGCTCGCGAGAGAGATAAAAAGTGTACGGGTGAATCGAGGCACTGATGGAATCGGGCCTCTCCGCGGCACCGAGATGTCGCCTTGTGTATACGAATCTCCCGTATAATAGTTATAATTATCATTATGTGTAGATAATTTTACGCATCACGCGGTTTTTAATACTGTAATACGAAAAAAATAAAATAAAATAAAATGAAACATATATTAGTTACCAGCGACCGGCTTACTTGTATACACGTCGCCTGCACTGAAAGTATATGATGTAGAGAAAAGCGAAAATATTTTTGCACTTCCCTCCCCCCCCAACAAAAAAAAAAAAAAAAAATNAACGAGCGCGTGAGTCACGAAAGTATATAATATTTCGAAGAATCATCGGCCGAGAGGAGAGAAAAAGTGGTACACATTTCGCACCGTATACATATATATATATATATATTTTTTTTTTTTCACCACCAACAACGTTCATTATGTCGTCACAGAGGAATTGCTTTGAGAGATAAGTACACTAATTCAATACTCGTCTCTCGAGTAGGTAACGCGTAATTGTCATTTTTTTTTTTTTTTTTTTTTTTCTTTTCAATCAACCCAAGAACGATGTATACGATTCAGCTTTAATAAAAGTGCAATTATCGTAGATGAACTCGGATATATCTGCTGTACTTAGAATAACACCACAAACGAGTTCGGGCAATCGAATTACCCACAAAAAGAGCTATTTGTCTGGTGAAAAGTAATCTATTTAAGATGCCATTCCAAAGTGTAATTTTTTTCTTTTCTACACTCGTTGGCGATCTGTTTCAAGACAATTAGTAAATCGATGCGAATCGAAGAGAAACAACTTTGTGCGCGTAAGTTGTATACGACTACAAATTTTTAATTTATTCCAAAGAAAATCATAACGAGTGTATGTTAAAAAAAAAAAAAAAAAAAAAAGGTGAGTCGGTTGAACACGTACTATAAAAACAAGTGATATCACAAATTGTTTCACGTTATACTTTTGACGCAAGACGTGATGTATAATACAACAATTAATTAATCATAATACCACCTGATTTTTTTAATCAAAAGAGAAATACTAAAAACAATTTTTTTTTCATGGGTAAAAATATAATTGCAAAACTAGTTCGACGGTATATTGTGTCATTTTCGAAACTTCTTGAAATTAAATCGCTTCATTGTATACAGAAAAAAAAAAAATGTTACTTTCTACTGCAGTTGTATGATTTTATTACTCTTGTTGTATTTTTCGTATACATTCATAATCTAAAATATTTCCCACACATTTATATTACAAAAAAAAAATAAAAAAAAACGAGTCTCCCTGATTTAAGCATTCGCTAAAACGCACGGGTTTGTTAAGACCCCCGAATGCCCCTTGGATTTTTCTCGCACGCAAGGATCGTCCGAGAGACGACGAGAAACAAAAAGTAAGTAAGTATAAGTATTATTAAGTAGGTAACAAGGCAGCGCGTACTTATAATCGAAAGGAAAACGAGGCGCGGAATATT